GACAAAAATGAAAACCAGCGAAGAAATGGCTAGAGTTGCCAAGTTCCCCTTTAATTCTGTGTTTTTATATGGGAGGTATCGAAATGTATCAAAGTGAATTGAATCATGTTGTGAGAATGTGAGATTTCAAAATGCATCGACTGCATGACGCTTTGCTTTAAATATTAAAGTTAAATTGAACAGCTGTTTGAATGAATCGTTATTGATATTGATGATCGTACTGCTATTTACAGATCCCACCTAATGATCGAATACTGGCTGCTCCAGTTGTGGAAGCTTCTGGCCTTCTAGTGTCTCTGCCCGCTGACCCCACCCCCATTTTTGCGCAACCAATCACTGAACAGGTGGCTGAGACTACATCAGAAATGAAATGATCTTTTTAGTTACCTCTAGTTAGAACTTGACTAGACTTAAAGCTTGAATGATGTGGTTTTTATTTTCCATTTTTAGATCCCAGTTGAAAGAGTTTCAGTACCAGTAGTGGACATCTCTCCCCCTCCTTCGGTCTTGGTTTCCTCTTCAGAGCCCGCGTCCACCGACCCCTCCCCTGTTTTAACGCATCCAGCCATCGAGCATGTGACTGATGCTGTGCCGACTGCAGCGGAGGTCTTGCAGGCTGCCAGTAGAGAAGCCAGTTTAACAGAGCTCGGGTTGGCCCAGTACACACCAGTGGGGATGGTCCAGAACTTCTTAGACTCCATGCACTTGGATCTTGGTTTGCCCTGGTGGGGGGCCATAGTTGTAGGTAAGCACAGATTAAAAAAAAAAAATATATATATATACGCTAAATCAGGTTATATCAGAGACTTCCAACAGTGTTTACTGTATTCCCTGTGCTCTAAGCTCATCCTGTTTTTCCTCTTTCCTTTGTCTGTTGATCCCTCACCCACATGTAGCAACGGTGTTTGTTCGTTTGGCTGTGTTTCCGGTCATTGTGAGCACCCAGAAGGAGGCAGCCAAGACGCACAATTTGTTGCCTGAGATGACCAAAATCAATAGCAGGCTGGACGAGGCAGTAGAAAGTGGAGACAAAGTTAAATGTAAAAATGTCTTTCCTTCATTTATATTCTCAGTCACGATTTAGACACTGTGTTAATTATGCTATAAACCTCATCAACTTGTCATGAGCTGTTGTTTGCGTGTTGCAGTTGCCAAAATCTACTCTGAAATGAACTTGTTCCAGAAGGAGCATGATGTAAAAGATCGCAGTGGCTTCCTCGTTCCTATGCTGCAGGTCAGTTTATCTCTGGTTTCTCTGTCATGTTGTACTGAGCTCTAACACCATTACATTAACTCTGGGGTTTTTTGCTTTTACCTAACATTCAATCTCAACTTTTCAATAAGATAAAAATGCACCTAATTTATCAAAGCAGGATTAATTTTCATGTTTCTATACGTTGGTCTTACGTGGAGACTGAATTGAAATAAATAAATAATGAAATAAAATCAACCTAACGAGGGATA